GCATTCATTTGGAGAGTTGATATTTCCCATCTGAGTTGTGCACTGAGGTCACAAGCCTGTGTTTTGTACCAGAAACTGGATGGAGAGAAACCACCAGATAGTGGCAAACCCGTAGGCGGGGCTTGGCAGTTGGCTTCACACCACGGCCTGCAGGCCCAGGCGTCAGTTCTCTCTGATTTTTCAGCAATGAATTTTGCTTTTTGTCTCCACATATCTGTAAAGCAGAAATACCCAAGAAATTTAAAACAACAACAGGGTTGTTTCTAGATTTTTCTCCATGTTTTCTTCCCGAGAAACATGACATCTTCGCTTCATCAAAATAATTTTAATAATGGCAGTGTTCTTTGGTAAGCAGCAAAACTTTGAATTCAGCCATCTCATGGATGGGTTTAAATGTAATTTATACAATTGAGTCAGATTCTGTATAGATAAGAAAATAAATGAAAGTTGGGGTATTTTAGTTTCCCCTGGAGCCCAAACCTCACTTATGCATGTTTCACAGGCAAATGTTTGCTGCTGCAGACCTGCAGGACCTGAGAGCAGAGCAGCACAGTCTCTGTGGCTGCGTGTCACTAGACCAGAAACAGTGACTGCTGCTGGCAAGAGAACATTCACCCTCTCATATTTCAGGATATTGTCTGAAATTCCTGGGCATATTCTCATTAGTGGGTATTCCATAAATAAAAACTGAGTTGTAAAAACATCTTTTATTGGGTCATCTTTCTTTCTTTCGTTTTTAGTAGTTTAAAGAACTTCTCGATCCTCCTCATCCACATAACAAGGGATTAGTTGCCGAGATGGAAAACCCTTAATAGACAAAATATAAATAAGTGTAAACTTTGGCCTAGCCTGTCAGAATTTTAAAAAATTCTGAGCAGAGTCCAAAATAATGAGGTTTTATTATAGCACTGGATATAGTTTCTGACTGGCAGGTTAGAATTGTTTCAAAATTAAAATTGTCGGGTTTTTTTTTTTGTCTTTTTCCGTGTCCGGCAACGGATCGCAACCCTCAGTGTCGCCCCCGTACCGGACCGAGACCGGCAACGGGATCGCAACCTTCGGTGTTGCCCCCGCGCCTCGCTCAGCCAGTGAGCGGGAACCGGTCTGCATGTGGGATCTGAACCCTCGGCGGGAGCGCCGCCACACTCCCAAGCGGCGCACTGTAGCAGTGCTCCACGGGGCCGGCCCTGGGAAGATGAGGTTTGAAGAAACAATGTTTTGCCACCAGGTGGGGCAAAATCTGCACTGTTATTTTTGGTTAGAAGTCATAGCTGTTTTCCTGGGGTTTCCATACTGTGAACTTCATTATGGCTGTGCATCACATTTAAAGAGTCTTAGAGATTGATTACTAAAAAAATTAGTCTCTTAAGTTTGTGGAACTAAAAATCTTTAAATGGGCACACTTCAGTTATTTACTTAAGTGAATTTGGAGTATTAAAAGTTGAGCATTCAGATTTATAATGGTCATAAGGTCATGCATCAGTAATACTTTTTAAGTAACATATAACATTTTGGGAGGATTTTTTTTCTTTAGTTTTTAAGAATTTCATTTCTGGCAGCTTAACGTTTTGATGAGTTGGGGAATCTGAACAGAAAATGTAGAGCTTGTTGTAGAACTCTTTTGTGGAAAGAAATGTTTAAAGTCTCTTCTGGTACCTGAAGCATAGATACGTGTTACTGCTTTGCACACGTCCAATGTATTCTTAAAGTAGTAGAAATGGCATGTTACAAAGGCTCTCTGAGTGTGTTCCCTGGACCCCTGGGAGTCCCCAAAACCCTTTCTGGGACAGAAGTAATAACTAAATCCACAGCAGCAGCCAGGCATGTGAGCTGATATGTGCACCGTGGTGCAGAGGGGGGTCAGAGCTCGGTGCCACCCCATGGTGCGCTGTGCTCTTCCCCGCCGTGCATTGGGGTTTAAAATGCGCCGGTTTCCCTTCAGGATGTCCTTGGTGAAGCAGTAAGTATTGTTAATGTTAGTTTCAATCCTCACTTGTCCCTGTGATGAAGGGTAAGCACACAGGACGGCCGCTGTGCCTGGGGGCGGTGTCTCCAGGAGGGCCCAGGTGGGATTGACATAGTGTAGAGTTGTTCCGGTTGCAACTCGCCACGTCTCAGGGGAAGCTGGCCCTCCCAGGCACGGCAGCAGACACACGGCACTTTCCCAGTTCCGTGTTTGGCATGCCTTTTCCCCAGGATGAACAGTGTGAGTCTCAAGGAGAGAAAGCAGCAGGTGGTATCTGTTGCTAAGGGTAAAATTCAGGCTTTCAAGTGAATATTAGAGTTCTGGAAAACTTGTATCTGCCGTCATGACCTTGATGGCTTACCAATAAGTAATGACTTCTGGGGAGGTTGGAGGTGACATTAACGAATGTGTTTCTTTTATATCATCTAATGAAATGCGTTGACATTTGGAATCTGCCTGAAACTCAGTGAACGAGTGTTTTCCAAATGACCAACACACACGGGTCAAAGATACGTTCAAAGTGCAAGACAGACTGGCTGGGTTTTAATTTAAGAAAGTGTGGAAAGTTCGTTGGTGTGGTTTCAGATTCCATGTTGCAGCGAACTTTTATGAAATTACTACTTGCTAAGATTTGGTTTAGTATCAAAGAACATCCATAGTTATGTGAAAAGATTGTAAAATACTTCCCCATTTCTTAATGACATCTGTGTGAGGCAGGATTTTCTCCCCATTTTTTAACCCACACAATATGGGGGACTGACTGTGGAAGGAGACATGAAATCCTTCTGTCTTCTATTAAGGCAGAGGTTTGCAAAAACATAAAACAATGCCACTCTTAGCTCTAATTATTTTAGAAATAACATTACTTTTTTATTTAAAAAGTGTTAATGTATAATGGATTTTTAATATTTAAAAAATTTGGAAATATCATTAGATATATGGGAGTACTTTAAACAGTTCATGGAAAAATGGAATTAAAGGATAATACTAATCTTTCTGTGAACTTTTTGATGAACCCTTGTATTCCACATAAACACAAGCTCTCTGGGGTCCTCAACTTTTAAGAGTATAAAGGGTCCCTGAGAAAAGTTGAGAGCTGCCCTTCAAGAAGTATGAAGAACTGCACGTCCAGTTCTTGAATTGTCGCTCTCCAGCCTTCTAGTTGCAGGCTTCGTGTTAACAGCTGTTGAGAAGGGCGCGCGCATGCACACACACGCACAAATATCTGTGTATGTATTTTAGCCTAAGATTCTATAGCATTATCCCTGCTTCTGGTTAGAAAATGGAGCAGTTTTCAGCTGAGAAAAAAATGTGTGCTTGGAAATGTAGAAAGATGATTTTAAGTTCAGTGCATGCAGTGTTGTCCTACAGTTTGTTTACTTTCCCACTTTTGGAGATGCCTACCTTTCTCTTCCTTTCTGGGAAAAAAATTGTTATTAATATGATGTGGTTGGCCACGTTCCTCATGTAATGGCACTATGTAGTAGGTACAGTGACAGACTAATTCTAAGTTGTGTTAGAAGCTCAACAAAACTTTTTTTTTTTTCCTTTTTGTCTTTTTTCGTGACCGGCAACGGATCGCAACCCTCAGTGTCGCACCCGTACCGGACCGGGACCGGCAATGGGATCGCAACCCTCGGTGTTGCGCCCGCACCTCGCTCAGCCAGTGAGCGGCCGGTCTGTATGTGGGATCCGAACCCTAGGCGGGAGCGCCGCCGCGCTCCCAAGCAGCGCACTGTGCGCCACCGGGCCGGCCCTCAACAAAACTTTTTTTACTTTTGCCTTGATGTTCATATGTTTTTATTCCACAAGCTTAACTGAAATATCAGATTTTCTATGTTGAAGAAATTATAAAAAAATCAATTTTGCATATATAAAATGATCTGATCGATTCTGAATATGTTCTTTATCTCATTCTACTTAACAGAAATAACTATATTTCTCTGATTTATTATTCAGAACTCAAATCCAGAAACATGTTTATTTTTCAGATTAACACATAAAATGAATTTTTAAAACTGGCTTTCCATTCCTGAAAACATCTTAATTTCTTTGCTTTTATAAAATGTTCAGTGTTGTGAGTATAAAAGTGTGTTTCCAAGTTTCTGAATTCTTGAAGCAATCACTTTGAGGTAGGTTTTCTACATTGAAGAGATTACATGACTGTGATGAAGTCATTGGGCTAATCAGTGAACACTGCAGTCTGAATGGCCACTGTCTCTTTAAGAGAATGAGGCGGAATGTTTGCCTCTTTGTTCCAAGGTCGCTGGGGAGACCACAGTTGGAGGAGACAGTTGGAGCAGGCAAGCAGGAGGTAGGAGGTGGTAAGCACCACTCTGGAGGGTGGACTCTGGGCAAATGTGCTAGAAAAAGTAGACATTCAGGTCCTAGCTAGAAATAAAGGCATCTCAAGCAAATGTTTAGATGTGGCTATTGAGAGAGGCTCTAGAAGGAGAAATGTTTTTAAGTACACACCCATGATCTGTGCCATGTTGGTGTTTGGTAATCGTAAACATCAGTCTTCTAAAATTTCCTTAGGCTTTTAATTAAAATGACAATAGAGCTGCAGCATTAAGAGTTTTTGAGCATTATGTTCACATACATTTGTTCAGCCTTTTCACCTCTTGTTTGCATTTCTCTGCTCTGTATTGGGATTTATTGATCTGGGCTTGTCTCAAGAGCAGGCTCATACTTGGAAAGAAGCTGATGACTGATCTCTGAGCCCTCATCTTCCTATGCCTCTGCTGGCCTCCCCAGGCAAGCCCACGGCTGGCCACCCCTTCCTGGGCTGTCTTAGTCCCCTTCTCTCAGAGAGTAGTGATAATACCTGCCTTTCTGTGTAAAAGCCCTTACAGGAAACGGAGGTAGAGTCGTGTGCTTTTTTCTAACTGCCTGGATGTCTTTGTAGATCACATAATGTACACTGATAAGATCACTCGGAAAGTTTGGTGCCTTTTTCTTTTAAAAGTATTGACACATGGTTTTAGTTACAGTTATTTTAAGTGCTATAAAATCTTTTTAAATTTTCTTTTAGGAACTACTTCTTGGGAGCAGAGTCTAGACAATTCGAGTTGTTGAAAATATGAATCCTGTTACTTATGAACAGTGGTTGACGACAATGGTGTTTTGAGGCACGGCTGTCTACTGACGAGATTTCATCAACCAGGTTTTTTGTTGTATTTTGGATTCCAGCTGAAAACGTGTCCAAGCTTTCAGTGTTGGGCAGGTAAAGTATCAGTAGTGTTAAACAGCAGCAACTAAATTTTAACTTGAAAGTTTGTATTTTCTATTTATAAAGTGTCGTTATTTGTAAAGAAACTGTTATAATGTAGCATTCATATTTATTTCAAATATTCTAACCTTTAAAGTTTTCAGTGGAGTGTTTAATCATCTGTTAGGAATTAGATTTAGATGCTAACACCAGAGTCAAGGGTTTGGATCCCCATACCAGCCAGCCACCAAAAAAACAAGTGGAATTTGATTCAGAGTTCCTTTATTCCCTCTGCAGAAAGCCATCCCCACAGAGGCAGGACCCAGCAGTGGAGGGACTGCATACATGTGCCCTTCTTGGCAAAGGCCCCTAATGACTGTGTCTTTAGTAGAAGTTCAAAGTGTTGTGTGAAAATTGGGACTTAACCCTCTTTTAAGATGTCTATCAGATTTGCTGCAAATTTGATTTGTGCAAGAGGGAATCTGTTTTCCAAAAAGTGAAACTTCTAACAAGAACAAGTAAACAGTTGTAACTTACTGTAGTGCACTAACTGCTCTGCTATGTATGTGTGTATAAGGAGCATGTCTCTGCTTTTTGTGTTGTTTCCCACATTTAAAACCCATGACCTTTTGAGGTCAGCGTTGCCTCCTAGATGGGAGCAGCTCAGTGTGACCTGCCCCAGGGACCCCAGCAGGTGCGGGAAGCACCCCTTTGTGTTGGCCGCTGTCCTAGAGGCTCCTCCATGCGCTCTGGGCACCCTGGGGTTTCTACGCTGACAGGTGATGAAGGAAGGGGTGTGGTCCTCGCCTCAGCAGCTTCTGAGTGACCAAGGAGTTGGGGGATCAGGTTCGCCATCTGGCAACACTTGTAGCTGGACAGGAAAATGGGAAGTGACAACATTTCGATGGAAGAAAAAAAAAAGACTTACATCGTGAGTGATCTTACATTTTGTGTATTCTTATTCTTATTGTATATTTTTAAGGTTTTCACTTTATTTATACCAGTCCTTCCCCTTGAATGGAGCATGGTGTAAACCAGAGTCGTCATTAGCATTCGAATGCGGTTGAAGCCTGGACAACTGGGAAGAGAGTTCTCACGGTATATACTGTCTTTTTCAGGTTTTGTTGTTTTAAACAAGAGTAAAAGTTTCACAAACATGATCCTTTAGAATCTGTTTGAAAGTTGGGGGAAAAAAAGAGAGAAGTAGTATACCTTAAAGCTGTTGCCTAGGTCAGTATTCCCTGTGTGTCTCAGTTACCCATTGCTGCTGACAGTGTCCCTTAGAACTTAGTGGACTAAAATGAGGCCCATTGGTACCTCTCAACCGTGTGGAATCTGGGCAGTCCGCCCACTTGGTGTACAGGAAAGTCACTCAGAACTCAGCCAGCAGCAGGTCTGGCATGAGGGGTCTATGGTAGCATCCCTCTTGACCCTGGGTTGGGGTGGCTGAAAGCCAGGGCTCTGCTGGGCCCCTCCCCTCCACGTGGTCTCCAGCAGGGTGGTCAGCAGCCTAGGGCTCCAGAGCCCACGGTGGACATGGCAGTCCTCATACCAGCTATTGACCTCACTGTACACAATCGTGTCCTTGCCCTGCTTGTGCTGAAGCTTATTCCCTGGGCTCCCCACTGTGTAAAGCCTTGTCCGAGTAGGTGAATGGCAGCAGTGCACATTTGACTTGCTGGCTGTGTTTCCTCCCACTAAACATTAGGAGTGTAACTGTTAACGTTTTCTTAATGAGTCACCTCACGTACCACACTTCACAAGACATTGGTCAACAGAACTTATGTCATGCACAGCTCCATGTTTTGTAGGTAGAACATTGTTCTGTCTCATCCCTGTTCTTATTTACGTTTAGGCAGGTTGTGCTCCCTCTTGTGTGCAGTTAAAGTCGCGTGATCTTTTAGGTACGTGGTTTGTTGGTCAGGATGTGATCACATTTTCTCATTAGGTATGGAAGATAAAGGAGACCCGAGCAGTGAGGAGACGCCTAAGGCTATCAAACCCACAAGCAAAGAGTTCAGGAAAACATGGGGCTTTCGAAGAACCACTATTGCAAAGAGAGAGGGTGTGGGAGACGTGGAGGCAGACCCGTTGGAGCAGCAGTCCCCACGGCAGCACGGCCTCTCCTTGCGGCGCAGTGGGAGGCAGCCAAAGCGCACCGAGCGGGTAGAGGAATTCCTTACAACAGTTCGGCGCAGAGGAAGAAAGAATGTTCCTGTCTCCCTTGAGGATTCCAGTGAGCCAACATCTTGTCCAGTCACAGATATTGAAACTGCCTCGGAAGGGAGCGTAGAAAGCACCTCTGAGATGAAAAGTGGCTCCCAGTCTGGTTCCACGAGTGTACAGGAAGGACCAGCCTCTTCTGGAAAGGCCACAGGAGGTGAGGACGAGGAGGACACCTCTGACAGTGACAGCGATGGCCTGACTTTGAAGGAGCTTCAGAATCGCCTTCGGAGAAAGCGAGAGCAGGAGCCACCTGAGAGGCCCGTGAAGGGCATCCAGAGTCGCCTGAGGAAGAGGCGTCGGGAGGAGGATCCCACAGACACTGTGGATGTCGAAGCAGGCAGCACAGTCGAGAGTGTTCTGCCCAGTAAGCAAGAGCCCGACACGGACCAGGAGGCTGTGTCCCAGGCAGTGAACGATGACCAAGAGAGTAAGCTGGAGGCGACAGCGGCCCAGGGAGTTAAAGATGAAGAGCCTGGGGATGCAGGCAAGCCCAAGCCTGAATGTGAAGTGTACGACCCCAACGCCCTGTACTGCATTTGTCGCCAGCCTCACAACAACAGGTGGGTTGTGGGAGGGCTTGGCTGCCCCAACTTTCAAAGAAATCGGGTGATGAAAATAGCATTTGTATTTGTTTTGATTTTAAAATGTTACAGAGCTAGGCTGGATGAATAATTTATTTATTTGAAAAAGATGAGTACATCATTGTCAAAAAAGAAAAAAAAGGACTGCCTGGGGCCACCCCCACCCCTCCCCTGTGGTAGCCACTGGCCTTGTGGCTATTGAAGGTTGGAGCGGTGAGCATGAGGGGAGGCAAGACGCACCTTGTTCCACACACAGCCATGTGCAGCCAGTGACTGTGGTGTAGACCACACGTGCTCCCAGGAGTCTGTCAGAGAGTGCTCCTCTAGGTCCTTCCTTGGGAGACCTAGCAGAGGGCCACGTGCAGACTGTGGTTGAACCCCTGTGTGGACATGGGGGCGCGACTGAGAGCCTTTACTAGAATCTGGTATTAAGAAACTTCTGTTGGCTTGTTGGCGGGATGAAGGCATCGCTGCTGCTCTGAGGAGGGGCACGCTGGAGTGGTTGGGGTGGAGGGCCCTGAAGCCTGTAGTTCACGCCAGTCCAAGGTAAGACAGACTTAGTTGAATGTTAGTGAAATCAAGAGATGGGCATGAAGGTGTTCTTTATTCTGCTTTCTGTACTTTTCTGTGTATTTGCATTTTTTAAATAATAGAATGTTAAAACCATGTGACTTCTTAATATGTCAAAAAGTGAGAGTTCATTCCTTCCTCCCATTGCTAATATGATTTTTTTATCTCAGGTTTATGATTTGCTGTGACCGATGCGAAGAGTGGTTTCATGGTGACTGTGTGGGCATCTCTGAGGCTCGAGGGAGGCTTTTGGAAAGGAACGGGGAAGATTATATCTGCCCAAACTGCACCATTCTGCAAGTGCAGGATGAGACTAATTCAGAAACTACAGATCAGCAGGAAACTAAATGTAGACCTGGAGATGCTGATGGCACGGACTTTACAAGTATAGGAACAGTGGAGCAAAAATCCAGTGAAGACCAAGGGATAAAGGGCAGAATTGAGAAAGCTGCTAATCCAAGCGGGAAGAAAAAACTCAAGATTTTCCAGCCTGTGAGTATTGTGCTAAGGTGAACATTGAGGGCTGGACCTTATGGATTCCAGACTGGCTATTGTAGAAATACCGAGGCTAGGAATGTTTCTGTCTTTTGGAATAAGCTAATTTCTCATCAGGACGGGCACTGCCTCTGGGGCGGGGCCTCCTAAGCTCTGCCCCCATCTCCTGCCCTCACCATAAGGATGAGCATCTCTACCTGCCTCGTCTGCTGTTGTGGACTTTATCTTAACTGTTGGCTTTTCTTTACGTATTCTTGATGTACTTACATATTTTAGGTGTACTAGCAGAATTGTTTTTGAATTGCTGAAGTGCGTGTGCCCCTCTGTCCCCTTACACCAGCTTGAGCTGCCTTGTGGTTCTTGTGCTGACTCAGCATGGGAAGCCCTGAGCTGTGGTGGTGCCCAGGTCAGTCCGACCCTCACTGGTTCTTGTGCTCGGTGTATCATTTCTCTGCCTTGCAGCTGTTTCCTCAGTTCTCCTTCCTGCCTGGTTTTTATGCCCCTTTGGGGCTGTCATTCTTGTTTTTCCCATGCACATCAGTGTCTACTTTTGAGAGCTGGCACGGGCACTCATAATCTCCATTCCAGTTCCCACAAGGGGCGTGGCTTGGAGCGTGTTTCACTCTGGGCCTTCCTGGGTCCCTGGCCCACCCCTACCCTGGCAGCATGTCTTCTAGCAGGGTCAGCCTAGTGCTGAGTCTCAACGTCTCTGCCTTATGAATGCTCTTGCACTGTGTTAGCTGCAAGGTGGACATGTGCAAAGACCGAGCTATTTGAATAAATGTGTCACAGAAATATTAAGAGGGACTGGATGGAAATGTGACATTACTGTTCATGTCACAGTCATTAAGAAAAATTAATGAGGAAATTTGTCAATTTCATGTCTTTATTGTCAATGTGTTTGACATAAGCCTATATAAAATCCTATTCTAAGTAAAACAGATTCTGTGGAGGAATAACAACTATGTTAAATGTTTAATTTGAGAAATAAGGTTTTGCTTAAGTACACTTGAGGGACATGTTCATGTGTATTTAGTCCTGACCATCACAACCTACTTTAGTAATTGTAAACAGAAGCTACTAAGTGTACTTCTCGTGCTTTTTTAGTTTCTTGTTACTGCATAACACACTATCACAAACTTAGCTTAAAACAACACACATTTGTGGTCTCGGTTGCCTTGGGTCACAAGCCTGGGCATGGCTTAGCTGGGCCCTCTGCTCATGGTCTTAACAGGACTGCAGTCAGGGTGTGGCTGGAGCTGTCATCTCATCAGAGGCTCAGCCAGGAAAACATCCCCTTCCAGAAGCTCTCCCATCATTTAGTATATGAGTATGTCCCATGCAGTTTTTGTGGCACGCTTATACTAAAATTTTTCTTATCTGAAATTTAACTTTAGTCAGGTGTCCTGTATATTATCTGGCAGCCTTACTTAGATCCTGACCTTGGATGGCCCTCTCAAAACAGGTCAGCTTATTTCAGAACTAGCAATGGAATCTTCTCTCTTCGGAAAAGGCCCAGTTTCTCTCTTAAGGATTTTTGCCTGATTAAGTCAGCCTTTTTTGGTCATTTCATTTGGGACCTTGATTACATCTATGCAGTCACTGCACATTTGCCCTATCGCAGAATCTGATTGTGGGTATGAAATCACATCCTGTCCATGGACCTTGCTCATGCTCAAGGGGGGGATTATGCAGAGCATGTGCACCAGGAGCAGGAGTCCCAGGGGTCACCTTAGAGTTCTGCCCACCACAGATGGTGTGAGGGACAGTTAAAATGTCAGTGCCTTGCCTTGGGGAAATAACATTTGTGTAGTTTGAATAAACAGATAAATTTTTATTCATATTAAAAATACTGTTGCTATCTCTTAATTAAAAATAATGACCTTGGTGCTATAGTGATTTTACAAAGCATTTTAACTGCTGAAATTGGCAAGCCTACTGTCTGAACCTGCCTGTTTTGCTCTGCAGGTAGTGGAGGCTCCAGGTGCCTCCAGGTGTACTGGCCCTGGGTGCTGCAATGCAGCGCAGCCTGACTCGGTCTACTGCAGCAACGACTGCATTCTTAAACATGCTGCAGCTACTATGAAATTCCTAAGTTCAGGTAAAGAACCAAGACCAAAACCTAAAGAGAAGATCAAGATGAAGCCAGAAAAGCTCACCCTTCCAAAATGTAGTGTTCAGGTAAGTCGACTTAGACCGGGCGTCCGAGCAACTGGAGCAAGAGTGTGCAGAAGTATTTCTCGTAGACTTGTTATATTTATTTGTAGAATGTAGGGACAGCAGGTACAGATGACACGCAGGTGGTGTCACCTTCACTTTTGTCTTCCACCTGTTTTCTTTGCCCATTGGCTGATTGGCTGAGAGATGAAGTCATACAAATACAGTGAATTAAAGGCAGGTAACTCGCTGCTGCATGGAGAGCATAAGGCTCAGGACGCTGGCAGCAGTCTTGAGAAAAGACCTGCTAACCACCGATGGAGTTCACGTGGAAAGTAGACACACAGGGCGGCTGGGGGTGGGCCCTGGAGAAGGCTGTGTCCTTCAAGGACTAGCTCTCAAGATTGTCCTGTTTTAGTATCCGTGGGATTGGGGAGAATACAGGATGGCTAGAAATCACAGGCTCTTGTCTTAGAATAAGGCATTTGAAGGCCCTTCCTGGGGCTCAGGTTGACGTAACTGTGTCATATCCTCCATTATATTTATGACGAAGCATTGAGGAGTTTCCTCAATTACTTTCAAATGCTTATGTAGCTTTTAGATGACTTAATTTTAAGGTTGGAAGTGTTGAACTGTAGCACTGCCACAGAAGTAGTTGCTGCCGCACATGAGAGGAGAGTGGCAGCCCCGGGTGTGCCTTGGGCCTGGCTGAGGGTGCAGAAGCATCAGGTGGAGTTTTCTTGCCTCCCCATGACGCCACCTTCATGCCTCACTCAGCGGGGTCACAGGAAGTTGTTTGTCGGGAATGTTCACGTTGCCCAAAAAGTTGGAATCCTGAATATGAAGTGGAAATGCTAAGGGTCCGCTGGATGTGCGAGGGTGGCCAGACTGCTGCTCAGCAGATGTGGCGTGCAAACTCAGGTTGGGTGACCTGAAGAAGACATAGGATTATGACCTTTCTTGCTCAGTGAAATGAACTGGAGGTGTCATTTCTGGCCTTGTTATTGATTGGGGTTTTGCTGATTATCCAGGCAGGCATTAAAATCTCTCCTCTGCACAAGAGACCAGCTCCAGAAAAGAAAGAAGGCTTAGTGAAGAAGGCGGTGGTGGCTCTTTCTAGGAGTGAAGCCCTCGGGAAGGAGACAGCTTGTGAAAGCAGCACGCCATCGTGGGCAAGCGACCACAACTACAATGCAGTAAAGCCGGAAAAGACTGCTGCTCTGTCGTCGGCACTGTTGTGCAAATGTATGTATCACCTGGGGCTGGCCTCCTGGACCCCTCCCGCTCTTCCTGGATAGCCCTCCCAGGCCTGTCCAGGACTGGGAGTTGCAGCTGTGCTTTAGCTGTGATCACAAATACTGGCTGCACCATCAGCGCTGGAAGCGAATGCCCATGTCCAAGATGCCTCCTGACCCCGAGGGTCCATCCCTAGTCTGTTGGGACTTCCTGTCAGTGTTTTCCAAAAAGCTGTACAAACCTCATTGCTGAATGTTGCACCTTGACGATTGAGTTTTTTAATCTCTGTTTTCATTATCAGGCTCTGGTGAGTATTTGTATTGTCTTCAGCAAAATGTGGTTGAGTAGACTACCCAGCACTCACAACTCATCACTGTCTAACATGAGGTATTCTTATCACAGCCCTGTGTGAAACTTTAGGAGTCTTCCCACACTATCCACTTTCAGCACATAAAATCAGCTCTTTTATATGGTGTTGGAACCTCTGCAAATTAGCATTGCATCTGATAGCCAACTTAGGTATACTTTTCAGGAGTTTATTTTTGACTGGACAGTTGGGGATTTTTTCATGTCAGATTCATATACTACACACCCACATAAACACATTTAAATTTTGAAGGGCTTTCACTGCTGCTCTGTAGACCCCACAGTGAGTGATGTGGAGTGCTCCTGCACCTGGAACTGCAGGGTGTCCTTACTAAAGAGAACGTGCTTAGAATTCTAAGTGTGACTAGCTTCCTGGCTCCTCTCTCCAACTGTCTTTAAGAGTTAGACTATTAAAGGTCATACCCTGACCTACATTTCAAGTTAATGAAATGAAATTATTTCAGGTAGATCTGTGAAACCCCGGATTAGGTCACGCAGCTTTAATCTGTTCTTGTTTCTCAGCCTAAGGCTCCAAATTTAAAGTTTAGAAATTTAAATTAGATCCATTGGGTACATTTTATTCTGTTCTAAAACTGTTTTCAATTCAGTTTTTATTTATGCTGTTCATAGTGCATTTTGGGCTTTTTTAAAAAAGCACCAAAAGGTTAAATAGCGTGCTGTGTTTTCCTTTTAGTTGGCCTTTTAACAAATCACCTGTGGAGGGGGAGGAGTGCTCGTCCAGGTAGGTGATAGATCTAGTGTGGTCTACATTAAAAAAAAAAAAAAAAAAAAGAAACTCGTTTTGATCACAAAAAGGGCCCAAGACCTAAGAGAAATGAATCTCAATATGCCTCCCTTTTAACAAATCACCTGTGGAGGGGGAGGAGTGCTCGTCCAGGTAGGTGATAGATCTAGTGTGGTCTACATTAAAAAAAAAAAAAAAAAAAGAAACTCGTTTTGATCACATAAAGGGCCCAAGACCTAAGAGTAATGAATCTCAATATGCCTCAGGTTGTTTGAGCTGAGAATTTCACAGTAGCAAATAACATGTTTCAAATTTTCATCAAATTACAGCACCTCTACAAAACAGTGCTTTTACAGAACTGATGAGCAGATTTAAAAATAAGCATCACCTGTGTGTGAGTGGGTGGGAAGCACTTTTTAGCACTCTGCTAAAATGCTTTAATTTGGTTATAGGTACTTAACAACAAAGAAAAGAAAAACTGGGGAGTGTGACACGTACAGATAATTTGGGTAATTCATTTTAGTTCAGTTACTTTCCATTCGTGTGAACCAGAATTGGAGAGCTGACCCTGAGACTCCAAGTATGGGGGTGGAGGAGATTGCAGCGGGGAAAAGATGGGGAGTGTTTTGCCCTAATCTCTGAGTCATCATCTCCTACCTCACTCACCTTTTGCGGGGGAGACAGGGATGGATGGATGAAGCCCAGAAGACCAGTGAGGAGGCTCGTTGCTCCGCTCCTAGGTTTCTTCTTTGACCTTCCCTGCTTCTTCCATCAGCTCTTCACTGACGCTGACAAGGCTGATGCATCTCAGAGTCAAAACTGATGGATATCCAAAATTTATGAGGGACATACTCTTGATCTACTTGCTTCTGATCATTTTCTGTTTCCCCAGAAACGTCATCTTCCCAAAAGATGATTGGGAGGAGAGTGGAGTCATTGGTAAAATACAAATTTGACATGCCTCTGCCTCTCTCCCCTAGAACATCTCTTCACCTTTGTGGTAGCAGGGCAATCCTCTGGGTGGGAGGGGGCACCGAACACACAGCCCATCAGAACTCTGCACCCCATGAAGACCCTGCCCTGCCCCCCTGGCTGGCTGCAGAGATGCTTTGGGGGGGTGGATTGTGAGGCTGATAATGGGTCCACGTCCAGTCTGTTCGGCTCACCATGTACAATGTAAGAAGATCTGCGGGGTAGAGTCGATCACTGCAGCTACTTGTGGAGGTGCCCTTGACAACATCCTCCATCCTCCCACGTGGCTGGTGCTGCCCTCCAGGTGCTCAGTGAACAAGGCCTTGCTGTGCACGAAGCCCTCTGGTGCTGCTTTAAGGAGGGCATGCCGCCCGCTAAAGTATCCTTCCTGTTCTCAAGGTGATGCAGTTAACATGCAGCTGTTCCTCTGGTTTAATTGTTTTTTGGGACTTCTGTATAATTTCTTTAGCTTACAGAAACAGTTTGCATATTATTTCTCCTCAAGATCGTGATGTTTCTCTTGTGTTTTTATTTTCTTTTTCTTCCATGTTTCTTCTCTTTATTTCCAGTTTACCTATCATTACTCAGGTCATGAAGTGGGCTGAAAATCTTTTTATAAAGTATTCCCGGTTTATTACAGTTCTGAAATGGAAGTGTCTGGTATTTGTATTTACAGGCACCGTTCCTAGTATTTGGACTCCCTTAAATGGCTTGTTAAGTAACTTAAAACACTGGGGAGATGAACAGATTTTGACCAGAAAACAGACTTCTGCAGTTCATTCCTTCTAGCTGTGGGAGTTGAAATGCAAAACCTTAACAGCCTGCAAACCCAAACCCAGATGATTTCTTGTGCATCTTCCCCATCTGGAAGCCTTGTCCTCGCTCATGTGCGCGTGCCACTCAGGTGGCCAGGCCATGGGTGAAACGGATCCAGGAGAACAGGTGTCCTCAAGGATCACTCATGGAGTGGGCTCCGGAAGAGCATTTCACTGAAATCATAAGGAACAACTCTCCTGTAATAAAACAAACATAAGGGGGATACTAGAACCTAAGAATGTTTTGTAGAAATTTGAAGCCAGGGTCGGGGGGTGTCTGTATGTTTTACCGGTTGCATAAATTACCATTTTTCTCTGTCTCTCCCAGAGTTGTCAGTGGCAATAAAATGAGGCTGGGAGTAACCAGACTTTGTACATCTAAACCAATCTCTTCCTCCCAATTTGAAGAAAAATTGAAATTTGTACTGATAAAGGATTTAGCTTGACAGCTAGTTTTTAATGTTATCCATATAGCTGGAATTTTCTTGGCTGTCAGTGACATTCTTTTGGTATTTTTAAGTGTTTTACTTTTTATAAACTTAAAAAAATAGCCTACTAATCGGAAAATTAGGTCAGGGAAAGGTTTCACACTCTGTAAACTCAAACCTGCAAGGTGAAATCCCATCAGCACTGTCCTGTGACGTCCTTCAGTCTATCCCTTACCTGCTCCCTTCCTTCTTGTGCTTCAGCCACCTGGGGGAGGGCAGAAGTTTCCAGCAGGGTTGGTCTCAAATTCGCCTGCTCTTCAGTGACCTTCATAGAGCCTTTTGGAGCTATGGATCTACTCTAATACACTTTAAAGATTAACACTTTAGGAAAGTCCCTCTGGTGGCATTATCGGTGTCATAGATTGCAAAGGTCACCCCTGAAGATGCCTGCTGTCATTCCTCCAGTGCGGTACACAGTTTCAGGTACATTTGTAAACGCTGTAAAATACTTAATGCTTGTTTGTTACACATTGACACAAACATAGTTATATTCTTAGCTTTCTAGGATTTAGCGAAGTAAATTTAGGAGATCAATAAGAATTTTTGCTACTTATCATTTATTTAAAATGAAAGTTGAGGCAACTTTTACTTGACGCAAACCTGGAAGAGATCAGCAAGAAGAACACAAGGTAACTGGCTGCACACCCTGAAGTGTGATCTGCACGGTGCCATCAGCTCTGGGGTCTGTGTGCATGTGACCCTTTGGGACTGGGTGTTACAGGGGAGGGCAAATGGACTACTTTAACATGCCCTGTCATGTTGGCTTAAGTAGTAAACAATTGGGGCACAAACGATGTTGGTTAAAATTTAACCTTATTAAAGTAGACTGCCCGTTTCTGGCTGGAAGATCTGGAAAAGCAGCAGCTCTGCTTCCAAACAAGCCTTGGGCTTGGCAGCCGGGTATACCACTGCGCCCACTGCACAGCTCGGCAGGTGACCCAGGTTGCAGTTGAGTGTAATGCCCGTCTCCCCTCACAGCCCTTGTCATGTCTCATTCTAGTGGTTCACAGTAAGTGTAGTTTGAACAGGTCTTTGCTTACTACCAACCCAACATGAATCAGGTTTTAGTTTAATGTTAGAACTACAATATGTGAAACTACTAAACCATGGAGAAGGAGTATGCCTCCAGGTGTGCAATTGGTTTATGCAAGTTTCTCATGATACTCCTCTCTTAAGATGGAGGTAACTCAGATGTTGGACTTCAGTAAGAAAGAAATTAACCTAGGAAAGCTTCACGTGTCCCAAAACATGAGTGTGTGGACCTCTACAAAAACCATAATGTCTTCTACGATGTCTTGAGAGTTAGGGAATTACCTATATTTTGTTTTCTGATGTAAAAGTCAATAACTTATAAAAGGATACTTTATATAAATTGCACTTTTACAATGATAATTCATTTGAAAGCATATTGAGAGGAGCAAAAGTGGAACACTTTCTCTTGCTACTGGCACCTTGATATTTCACACAAGGAAAATTCTTAACAGTGAAACAGTTGAGATGGGAAACTACACTGTACGGGTGCTTTACTGAGAGCTAAAAATAGAACTGATGTCATCGTGAGCCGAATTTACTCACAGGCTCTCTCCACTTGTCCCTTCAGAGCCCTAACTTCCAGGTTCATAGAGGAGAAACAGTCCTTAACAGCGTGGCCGATGGTGAGGATCCAGTGCACAGTGGGAGTGGGAGAGGGTCTGGAGCCCGAGTCCCTGAACCAGTCACCAGTACTGACGGGAGTGTGTCTCAGCAGTTCCTCTGCCCATGAGGAGCATCCAGTGTGTGTGGTCACTGGATGTGGGTGTCTGTGGGGTTGGTTGGAACTGTGCAGCCTTGATCTCCTGCCCCATATTTTTCATTTCTATCCGGCTGCAACTTCCATGTGGGCAATTGGACAGGTTCTACCCAAAGGAACACGTTAGCATAATTCTTCTGGTGGAGGCCAGATCATCTCCCAGTCTCCGTTGAGGCCCTCTAGTGCCACCCAGTGACCAGCGATGCTGTAGTGCCACAGCCATTCCTGCAGTGTGACAAGACGCCTTGTTTCATGCTTTGGGGAAATTAGCCCACTAGGGTGTGCTGCTGATCCCTGTGCCAACGGCCTGCTTTGTTCTGTAGTCGGCTGGACCCCAGATAACTTATTTCCACTATAAACAAGTTGCCGGTCACTGTAGCAGCAGTTTCATCTGGGGCAGCGGCCTGGCCATGGGCAGGTTTTCCTCCTGTGGCTACTAAGGTTTAAGCCAGATCCCAAAAGGCGGCACCTTTCCTCCCCACAAGCGGGCCCCAAGGATGCAGATGCTGAAGGAGGCTGTGTGGACGGAATGGCTCCCCTCCTGTCCAGTGGACAGATGGGTGGGGACTGGGCGGTGCACCTATGTCTTTTACAGTCAGTGCTACCGGGACATCATTGCTGCCGACCAGCAGAGAACTCGGCAGCTCACGGGCATCTCGTCCCTGAAAGGCAGTGCTGCTGTTTTTCTAGAGTAGTTTTTTCTGGTTGATTACAAGTTATTTCTTGCCCTTCTGTAAATTTATACACAACGTAATACAGTAAAAAGTGAATTTGCAAGTTTTAACTGTCCTCAAGTTTCTCATTGTCGCTGCCATTCCAGCAAAGCTCACCCAAGTCCAGCACTACCGATGCTGTGGCCACTCACAGTGCAACAGAAGTGCACACAGGTCCCTGGGGCAGCTGCTGGGTAGAACTTTTGGCATGTTTTGAACATTTCAAAGTAGAACAGAGGCTTGACATGTGTCGTGACACCAGCAGGTAACCTGTGGGCAGCTGGCTGTTGGAGTCCCCCAGTTTTATAAAAATTTACTAATAATTTACCTAATTATTTCTATTTATGTACTCTTTAAAGGATAGGTAAAGGATAATGAAGGTTAGCTTTTAAGAGAAGCAACTAATTTTATAAAAAAGCAACATCTTGGGTAATAGGTGACTTTAGCCATATATATTGGGAATGTCCTAGAAGTAATCTCTTGGGTTTTCCCTGAATGAAGGAGAAAATACACCGATTGGACCAGTAGTAGAAGTATTGTGAGGACATCTCATTCTAAAGCTTATGATTTGGAGAAGTGTGATTAATGTTTTTGAAGTAAACATGTATTTCCAACCTGAAACAAGGTGAATGTTAAATGTCGCTAAGGTTTGGTTTCAGGTCACATCACACAGGTGTCCCATGTACTACATTCAAGGTGTTTTACTGAGGTTTCTGGAAACGCTTTAGACCAAACTTTTTAGAATTATGTTGAAGTAAAACATTAAAATATTCTCAGTGAAGTTTGTATTTGTGAAGGCAGTGACTGAACTGGTTTTGGGCCTCAACGTTAATCGTGACGGGTTCATTCTCTTCATGATTTTTGGGTGGTCTGCTGCCCGGCTGATGGGTGGTTCATGGTGCCTCTGCTCAGCATCTGAGTTCTTTGCGGCATCGATATCCAGCACTTCGTCCTTGCTGTACTTTAAATGTCCAGCCCTTCCCGGCCCCCACACTTCTTCCCCCAAGGAAAGGGGCCTCTGCCGATTTCACCTAACCTAAACTCTAGCAGCCCTTCAAGTTAAATGCTGTAAACGTTGCTAGCTAAATCTGAGTTGTTAAATTTCCAAATACGAAGGTACAGTGATCCCTTAGGTGTGTAAACTTGATCTGATGAAATAGTACACGTAGAAATGTTAAAACAAGGTGTCCTGGACAGTAAAAGGTAGGCTTTATCTTTGTTCCTAGTGTGTCCCTATTTTCAATTTTGCTAGACATCGTCATTGCTTTATAGTGCACTTTATATGGAAACCCAGCTCCCAGAGGAATGACACATTTAGAGTTGTGGCCATCGTAGCTTGTGAGCCACAGCCCCCAGGGAACACAGTGGTCTTTGGAGAGCCTCATCAGCTGAGGCCTGGAAATGATGCCAAGCATGGGGTGCTGTGGGCAGACCCCCTGTGGCAAGAGGCAGGCAGGGGACATGAAGCTGGAAGTGTGAAATGAAAATACAAGATTTGCCTTTTTAGTGAATTACCATTAAAAGGATGGTTAGGGCAGAAAATATGAAAGCAGTTGGAATTAAAGTTGGGCTTATTGCCTGTTAACACTCCATGAGCTTTGGCTTCATGGAGTACTGTCGCAAATGTGTAAAAATAAGGAATTTTATTTGTCCTATAAAGTGGGGGAAAGTGCAGCTCCCAGGCTTTTCAGAAATTGGCTGAAAACTGTAGGGATCCCTGGAACACACGTTGAATTCCCCCACTTCGATGTTTGGGAGGGTGGAGGCTTGCTGCTGAGTGGACAGTTTGAGAAGAGCCCGTGTCTCAGGGGCTGAGGCCGCCTGGCAGCCTGTGCCTATTCCCAAACACCTTGTGCATTGCCCCACTGCCTGGGGTCCTTCCGTGTCACACAGCTGCCCAACAAGTGCCATCCACTGTGCGATCTATGTGGGAACCCTGCTTCCTGGCAGCAGTGGGGTCGCAGTGCTAACCTCAGTTCTGGGGGCCTAGTGTAGGATTATAACAAGTTGATTCTTCACTGCATAAAGGTTTTTGTGCAAGTTAAGGGCTTTTTGACTTTTTGTTTGAGCTTTTGACTACATTCCTTGTTTGGATTAAAAGCACTGATTTACCACTTTAATTGAATGATGACTCGAGTGCTCTAAATGGGGACATTTATACAACAGCATCACTGTAATCTCAGATGCCAGCTCAGTATGAAAACATGATTGACCTTCAACATGTTGCAAGTTCCTGTCACCTTTCCCTATTTCATGATTGGCATCATCTTCAAGTGACTCGTCCAGAAGGACAGTGATGTGGCACATGAGACCCTCCCACACTCGGATATGCTGGCCACAGAGGGCACCTCAGGGGTTGGATGTGCACGTCGAAAGCATTTGTTGCTTTTACCTTTGCTGAGAAGATTCATGAAACTCGAGTTTACAAACAAATTGCACTTGAATTCTTAATGAAAGTGCTATTCTACATCTTCCTATCTTTTTTGGTAATGTGAAGTTTGTCCTTCAGTTCTAAAGCCCAGCTGGGGAGTAAATCGAGCCTTTGATAATGGAGTTTGTTGGTTGGAGTAAAAGGTTTAATGTAATAATATAATAAAGCATTTTTCTTTCTGACATAAGGTATAGTCACTATTGTAAATACTGCTGGCAGCGCTTAATTACACTTCTTTTTCTGAATTTTAAGACTTTTTAAATCCTTTTCTCTAAATTTGTCGTATTCAGTAATGCCTAGTAAGCACTTGCTAGTTTAAGGGTGGGCATGCTTTTGAAGTCCTGTTGTCCTGTCTTACCTGCGTGCTGCGTTCTCTCTCGCAGCCATGAAGGCAGACAGAAGAGTGGAAGAAAAGGCGGTGGCGGCCTCAGCCTCAAAGCAGACAGCCCCTCCAGGCTCCTCGGTGGGCAAACAACCATCGCCTAGAAGTCTTGTTCCAAAGAAGTCTTCTTTTGCTAATGTGGCAGGAGCCAAACCAGTTCTTAAAAAGTCACCTGGCTTCAAAGGCACCATCCCCAAGAAGTCGTGGCTCTCGACCGCCCCATCAGGTGGCACTTCTGCTGCCAGGCGGGCAGGACCCATGCTGGTCTCTGTGACGGCTGCTTCCAAAAAGTTCCCTGGCTCAGCTGCTTTGGTTGGAGCCATCAGGAAGCCGGGAGCAACTTCTCTTCCTGCGGCCCCTCCAGCCCCAGGACACCTCGGAACCGGGAGCCCTGCTCAGTCACAGCCAAATTCACAGATTCGGCAGAATATAAGACGCTCCTTAAAAGAGATCTTGTGGAAAAGGTGGGCTGTTGTATGTGGTTTCTTATATGTAGGAGCACTTCCATTTGTAGTGTGGTGGTTTTGAGATTGCTCCACTGTTTAAAAAGTGTGATACATGCAAATGTGAGAGGTTTATGTAGTTTCTTTTTTAATTCTGTTCAGAGTCAATGACAGCGATGACCTAATCATGACAGAAAATGAAGTAGGAAAAATCGCCCTCCATATTGAGAAGGAAATGTTTAACTTGTTTCAAGTTACAGACAATCGCTACAAGAGTAAATACCGCAGCATCATGTTCAACCTGAAGGACCCCAAAAACCAGGTGAGTGTGGTCACTGTATGCTGGAATGTTCCTGATGTGGAAGTGAACTTGGCATCTGTTTTCTGTCAGCTCAGTTTCACAGTGATAAATCAAACAGCATTTGCAATGTTTATATCCTTTCCATAAGAGTTGAAAAGTGTTTTATCCTCTGTGATGCGTCCACATGCTCCCATGTTCTTGGTGTTGAGAATATTTGTGGATTTTTGGGAGTCTTGTCAGTCGTTTCACTGGCTCCCCCTGAAGTTCATCTTTCATTTCTCCAGATTAGTCTCTTCTAAACATTGCAGTGAAATTACATGCCCACCACTTCATTGGCTCCAAAGTAAAGTTCAGATTCTTTTATTCTAGAATATGGGTGTCTCCATATTCTGGCTTCAGACAACCTATTCTGTCTTATTTTCTTATTTCTCATCAGCTGAGTAAGCCCAACGATTTGGGCAACTTTTAGAGTAATAATAAGGAGCAGCCCCTATAGTTCTCACCATTTGGACAGGTGCTGCAGGGTAGCTCAATCTTCGTAGCAGCCATGGGTGGGTGGTGGTCTTCCCCTGTGATCCAGATGGGAATGAAGGTTGGAAAGGCCGCACTGCATGCCTGGCACAGCCTCCTGCTGGTACCCAGTGTGTCCTCTGTCGGCCTCTGAGCTCTTAGCTGTGTGGTAGAACCAGAGTAAGACACACTGCATCTCTGCATCTCGCTGTGGTTAACAACCCCCAGCACGAGTAGTTTTCTTCCTGTCTTTACTCCTAAGGGTGTACCTTTTTGACGTGTATTTCAAATGGTGTATGTGATTTTTTTTTTTTCCTGAGGGGGTGCAGCATGGGCCTTGCTTGACTGGGTCTCCATTTGCTCTTAGCTGTTCAGGGAGATGGGTGAGGTCTTGCCTCTGCAGGGTTTGGCGCAGTGCTGCACTCCGTTGGAAGCTTAGGGTCATCATCCTGTGACACTTGAACCTCCAGGCAGAGCTTCTGTACTGTTTTACTTTTTCCACATCCTCTCCACATTAACACACTTAAATGTTTTATGAATGAGAGATGTTTGTTTATAGGGACTCTTCCATCGGGTTCTGCGTGAGGAAATCTCTCTGGCAAAACTTGTGAGAATGAAGCCAGAAGAACTCGTATCTAAGGAACTTTCCACATGGAGGGAGAAACCGACGAAATCTGTAAGTACTTAGGGGAGGGCTGTTTGAGGCACTAACTTTACCAGAAGTAAATTAATGCTTTCCTCCTAGAAGACAAGGCATAGGGCTTTATTTTTGTCTTTTTTTGTTTTAGGTGATGGAGTCCAGAACTAAATTGCATAATGAAAGCAAGAAGACTGCCATTAAACAGGAAACCGTTCCCAACATGGAGGATTCTCCACCCGTGTCAGACTCAGAGGTGAGCATTTGGGATTTTCAGTGTTCATAAAGGATAGACTGAAATTAACCCATTCCAAATGGTTTTAGATATCTTAAATTGTTGGGCAGGACACTGAGCTTATAATGAACACATATAATTGTATCACCTCTCAAGTGATTGTATTCAGTGATCCTTTCTTTCTTTCCTCTAGTGGTTCTTAATCACATCAGACTTTTTCCATGTGTGCTGATAATGTAGAAATGGAATTGGAAAAGAAATTACCTACTTTCTTTTTTCTTCTTTTAGGAACAGCAAGAATCAGTACGAGTTGTCCCTGAAAAAAGCCCCGTGCCTCTTCTGGACGTCTTCAGCAGTATGCTGAAAGACACAACGAGCCAGCACCGGGCGCATCTTTTTGATCTAAACTGTAAAATCTGTACAGGTGAGCATAATTTGGCGATGATGCTAAACTTTGTTTAAAGTCACTAATCCTTCTAAAGGCAAGTTCAAACCAAAAAAAGGCTAGAATGGTTTTCTAGAGTCTATAAATTTAGCCCCTCCCTTTATAGTGTTGCTTTTTGGTTCTTATAAGCAATTATTACCCACTCTTGAGCACTGTGCTCTTGGATGTGTCAGATTTCTCATGAAGTCTTTCTTCATCTTCTTCAGGTCAGATTTCATCATCAGAAGATGAGCCAGCTCCAAAAAAACAAAAATTATCAGCTTCTGCTAAGAAAGAAGACTTAAAGTCCAAGTATGACAGCTCTCCATCTGGTCTGGTTCCTAACTCAGCTGATGAAGTGATACCAGAAACTCTGACCGAAAATGTTTCTGAGCCAGACGTAGAAAGTGCTTCTCATCCAAACCCAGAGAGAAAGTATTTCCCTGGGCCTCCAGGAGACAGCCACCCAGAGCCCTCCCCCCTGGAAGGCCTCCCTCCCTGCCCAGCCTCCTGTGGGGGGACGGTGGTCACCACTGTCACAGTGTCCGGCCGGGACCCCAGGACTGCTCTGAGTGGGTCGTGCACGGTTGCGGCCTCTGTAGTAGCCCACCCGGACAGCATACACGCAGTAGAAAGCAAACAAGATGTGGTGAAGCCTGCTTTGACTTCTGTGACAGTGCCCAAGTCCATACTGGCTAAGCCGTCCTCATCCCCTGACCCAAGATACTTGTCAGTTCCACCATCACCAAATATCAGGTATGTACTTCAGATATAGTCTGAAAGAGCCAAGAACGTTTTATTTCTTTTAAACTAACAAAAGGAAAGGTAATTGGTGATTAAATAGTTCAACTCTTTTTCTTTGAGCAAAGTGTGTATTTATATTGTTACAATTAAAGCAGTTAATTGGCAAAAGTAAGCTACCAAAACTTTCAGGAATTCACTTTTGCTTTTAAATATAGTCTTCATACTTTTGAAATTCTCTTTGTACAAAGAGATTTATGGATTTTTTCATGATTTTGTTTTACAGTGTCCCAGAGTCACGTTCCCCTCCAGAAGGAGATACAACCCCGTTTTTGTCTCGACTCAGCACCATTTGGAAAGGATTTATTAACATGCAAAGTGTAGCAAAATTTGTCACTAAGGCATATCCTGTCTCTGGGTGTTTTGATTATCTCAGTGAGGTTAGAATCAAGAGTGTGTTTGTGCATGTGCCTGTGTGTATGTGTCTTTCACAGGAGGTCCTCTACTAGAAGTGGGCATGTGACTCTTAAACTGACCGTCTGGATATTTGAGCACCTCTGAAGGCAAAATAGAGGTTGCTGTAATGGGTCAGATTGTTATACAGTTTGGACAGAGCAGAAATCTGAACAAGAAATCAGGCAGCCCAATGATCTGTTCAGCAGTGATCTGTTTAGCAAGGGCATTTACTAAATATGTGTGTGCCCAGCTGCCAGCACAGCCAGGCGTGTGTAACCTGCTTAGTGTGGGTGGTGTGTATAAGCCCAGGCAGGTCTTTTATTTTTCTGAATTAACAAAAATAGCACTAGCACTTACGGCCTGAGCAAGGAGTGGCCGGTCAGTCATCCTGGTAATATCTGAATCGTTTACTATATGTGTGTGTTCCTAAAACATAACTAAAAATGTCAGGCAGTAGTTTCTAAACAATCCTGTTTGGCAGAGAGTTATTATACCACCTCTGGGTTTTATAGCTTTTAATGCTGGATGGTGGTTAGCCAATCAGAATTGGATACAATTATCACATTTTCCTTGGAATAGTTGTTTTCTTGAATCTTAGGTGGTTTGGTGCCTTGATGTTGCTACGGTAGTCTCTTTGTGAACACTGTGGCTCCACCACTTACTCACTCCAGGTGCTTTTTGTTTAGGACTTGCCTGACACAATTCACATTGGTGGGAGGATCGCGCCGAAGACGGTTTGGGATTACGTCGGCAAGCTCAAGTCTTCTGTGTCTAAGGTATCTGCTTACAGTATAGTCTCTGAAACGGTGGGAGATAGTGTATATTCAGACATCTCTTTAAACCTCTCATTTTGATGATTCACACTTGAAATGGAAGCCTGCAACTTTCAGGTGAATATTAAAATAAGTTCACATAGTTATATTTCTGTGCGAGGGTGAGTTAGAGATACAGTGAAAGAAATTTGTTTTTTCCTTATTGTAATAATATATATATGGTTACATTTTAGTAAGAAATGTATAAGCTTTATTTCCTTAACTTTTTTATGGTTGAAGGAGTAGAATGGGAATGCAGAGGTGATCTGGCAAAGGACACTCAGCCCGGACTCTTGAATGGGTTTTGGTTTTCTTGGAACCCCTGAGATTTAGCTACAGCTGTGTGTGTCTGTACGTACAGTTTCCATCAGATTCATGAAAAGGCTTAAGACCCTGTGTCTAGTTTAACCCTACTGTGTGGAGACAACACAGGTAACAGCTGCAGATCACGCAGCCTGCTCACTGACTGCAGCCGTGGTGTGTGCACTAAAGTGTGCTCCCGCTGCAGACACAGCTAAGCCTACGCTTCACGTGGCTGTCTCTCTCACAGGGGAACTCTGAAATCAAGGCTGTAGAAGAAGGCATTCTAAAGGGTTTCCTGCTGAAGCCAAGATTGGGATCGGGCAGTGTGGTACTCGATTGTGTATTTGTGTTACTACTCGTCACTTCATCATTTCAGGATGTCGGATGATAGGGCTATGAAAGTCAACATCAGAATTGCTAAAATCTCCAATCTCAGGCTGCACTTTTCAGGTTTGGGTATGGATTTTAATGCAGATGCTCTCCCCGAGCGGTCACAGATAAAGACTTTCCCCTGTTCTCTGTTTGCATTGTAGGAGCTCTGTCTGATCCGCTTTCACCCTGCAACAGAGGAAGAAGAGGTTGCCTATATTTCTCTCTACTCCTATTTTAGCAGTCGTGGCCGCTTTGGTGTTGTAGCTAATAACAACAGGCACGTCAAGGACCTCTACCTGATCCCACTGAGTGCCAAGGACCCTGTTCCATCCAAACTCTTGCCCTTTGAGGGACCAGGTAAGCACCAACTTTCTGGGTAGTAATTAGCCACATCAGATACCCACACATATTCTCCCCACTGACATGGAGTCCTACCGAGTTGTCACAAGGTAGATCTGCCATCTCACCCAACCATGACTCTCTGGGAACAACAGTGAGGAGCACAGATGAGGCCATGTTTAGCAGTAGAATTCCTCTTCTAGCATACAGGGGTGTGGCACTAGTAATGCCCCCTTATTAGTAGCATAAATTGTCTCAGAAAAGTTTTACACAGAGGAAAAAAGCCCACAGCTTCCAACAAGCCTGTCACAGCCGCAGATCAATGGGATGTTCAGATGCCCAGTGTCAGTGGAGAGGAAAGGCGATGCTTTAATATTGGCTTATGTCATGTTCTTCCCTCTAAATGGGATTCTTGTTCTTAATCTCAGCTCAGGAGTGAGCAGATGTCAGTAAGAGACTTTCTCCCTCCTGAGGTTACTTCTCTACCACAGATTAATTTCTACCACATACAAAAAATAGTGATGTAGAAAAATATTCCTAGAAATGATAACTTTTAAGACTGCTGCCCAAATTTTAATAAGTTATTTCATCTTTGACAAATTACTTTTTGTTTGCTCATTCCTTAGAAAGTACTGTATTTAAAGGGTTATTTATAGGGCTGGCCGGCTAGCTCAGTTGTTTAAAGCGTGGTATTATAACTTAACCAAGAACTACAGTTTGGGTCCACCCATGAAAAAGGGGGTGGGGTATGTATAAATTAACCTAAAAAACTATATTTGTCAGAGGTTGAGGGCAATTTCAAGGGGGGCATGGTCTGTTAGCATACAGCTCTTTCTCCTCCGCTTAGAAGAAATTGATGTGACTTCAGTTAGGAAATTGGCACTAGGTGCCTAAATTGGAGTGTCTTTGGCGGCGAAGTCCCCAGAGGATTGATCTTATCTGAATGCTGATGTGTCTGACACGTGGTAAGTGCTCTTTAAAGTGCTTTGTCATAGCAGTGGCAACTGAATGCCCTGAGCACTGACAGGTGCTGCCTAGACCCTGCACCTTTGTCCCTGTCAACAACCCCAGCCGCACGGCACCTAAGCCAGCTGGGATCCTGTAGGGACCCCTCCACATCCTGGCCTGTGTTGGGGCCTGGAGCTCATCACCTGCACATAGCATGCGCCAACTGGAGCCTGCTCTTAACACCTGGCTCGGCTTGTGCCTACTTTTCGGAATTATGTGCCTATAAAGGTATTGGTTGGTATTAATAATTCCAGGGTTAAATATTTACTGACATGATATATTAAATTATTTTAATGCCAAATACATTTTAAAAGCAAAGTGCTTTAGTGTGTCCTCTCAAATCGTACTTGGGTAAAGAAATGCCACCTGAAGGATGGCAGAAAGAACTCCTTGGTGGAAGTTCTCAGTGATGGCTGTGTGAAGAGCGCTGCCCAGCTCCCGCAGGACCAGGCAGAGGACGTGTCCAGTCCTCCTGGAGGTAAAGATACAGAAGCTGACCTCTCAGACACCTGTGAAGAGTGGCCGGTCAGTCACAAGTGTGAAAACTTGTATGTAAAAGCTAGTGTAAGCGTATGAGTCCCTATACCGTAGACATTGGTGCCAGATAGCACATTCTTCTCGGAGTAAAAAAGAGCAGTTTTTACTTGAAATAAGAATTAGTAGGTACTGAGCCTCCACTTTTTAAAATTAAAGCAGCATTTCATCCTGTTTGAACTCCTCTCCCTACTCCATCTCCAAACTCAGCAATGCCCCATGAGTGCGATGGTAAGGGGCGTGTGCCAGGCCTGGGGGTTCAGTGAGGTCCCGACAGTGGGCAATGACAATCAGAGGAGGCCACCAGAGGAGCCTCTGTGTCAGCCCCAGTATGAGCCAGTCGTGTGGGCACAGTCCTGGGCGGCAGCACAACTGGCGGAGGAAGAGGTAGGGACCGCAGAGGGCTGGGCAGGGAACACTCACCTCATCCACTCAATGTGATGGGCACCGACCATGCAGCTCTCACACTCCATGACGTCAGCCTCGCCAGCATAGTCCTTGAGGCCGTGACACTGCCTGAAGGGGACTTCAAAAGGCCCACAGATTTTCATTCACAATAAACAATAAATGTGTTTTGTTAAGATAGGAGGAAGGGTTTTAGAAAAGTAGTATTCAATGAAATTATGCCAGTAAACTTTTAAAGATTTTTTTTAACTTAAAGACTTTAGTGCATTTTTTATTTTCCTGACATTATTGTTGACATTAATATGTATGTATGATATTTTACACACTTCCATGGTAGCTGAACAACCTTGAGCCCGGGCCAGGTCGGCTGCTTGTATATTGATTGCTTCACATATTTATAGCTTGACTTGGCATTTTCTAGATACAAATATGCACATGTATGTCCTGGCTTCATGGTATAAGTGTGTAGTTGTGTGTGCATGTGTGTGTGTGGAAAGCTAGGTACTGGAACATTTGTCCTGTCTCAGCTCCCTGTCCTCATGGAGTTATTAGTCTCTGCACAGAAGAGCCCTTGGATGGCACAGGCCATGTGTGAGGGTGGTGGCTGGGTCTTCAAAGCAGAGCCATGGTCAGGTGTGAGCACACACTCCATGACAGCATGGGCCCCACACGCCTGACGGGAGCGCCTCTGCACTGCCTGAGGTCACACATCCAGGGAGCGGTGGGCTGGGGTCTGCATGGGCCCTGCTTCTGCTCTAAAGCTTGCTCTCAGCTCTGCAGCACACAAAGCCTAGGCCTGGAGGCAACATGGTGCTGCAGCCTTGAGGACCCGCCAGACTGCATCAGGACTGCCATGTGGGCCATGGAGTCAGTCCCTGCAGGATGTGTGAGGAGAAGGTCGCGTTGGCAGTAGGGAGCTCCTTGGGGAAGAGAGCAACTGACTCACATGTGCCTTGGTGTATACCACGTAGAATTACAGGTGTCCCTCGCCTTCCGAGCTCGGGGGCCAAGCAGATTTTGACTGCATGGTGTCCTCCCCTGAGCTCTTGCTGCTCACACTTGAGAAGCCTGCAGAGACACCACAGGTGCTGAATCTGTGCCCTCAAAGGGAATCCTGAGCTGGCCTGCGCTCGGTCAACGTGGTTCTTGTCTCAGCTACACTCTGGGGACAGCGACCTTGGGTAGCTGCTCCACGGAGCCCCTCAATCACACACAATTCACAGCTCTTCAGAGCACGTGTGGAGCAGGCAGGGTTTCTCTGAAAACGTTTTTGTCCTTGTGTGTTTTCACAGTTTGTCCTCAGAAATGCTGGTTTGTCTTGTTCTATTACACACTGGCCTTTTTACTAACTTGGTATTATCTCCAAGGATGGCTGGAAAGCCTGAGTCCCTCTAATCCAGCTCAACTTCCACTAAGATGTTAGCTCAGCTCAATGCAAGTTATTCTGACAGGGTGTCACAGTGGAGAACTGGGATCTCAGTCTCTGCATGACTTGGGACTAGTTGATTTGGAAGCTCGTCTGTGGTTCTGTATGTGACTAACAGAACTGTACCTGAAACCAAGACGCCCATACGAGTATGAACCCAGGGCCCAGCCCCATCATTTCCAAGTGAATGAATAGGACTTAATTTATGTGCCCTTGAGCAGCCTTGGGTCTCTAACATAGGTGCGTGCAGCCTATATCTTTTCCCAAGGGTGGGGACACTACCCTTTTTAGATGCTCTCATGGAAAGAGTGGTTTTCTCTGAATTTTTTAATACTGGAAAGCACTTCTTGGAGGAATAGTTGAATCCATAGTGACTTCTTGTATTCTTCTTAACTTTTCTAAATTAACTGAAAATTCTATGGTTTGAAATATTGTCAGGTAAGCGTTTCTTCAGTTTTCATGTGTGTGTGTATCAACAGCTTTGCACAGAAATTGTAATCAAAGTCAAATACAGTATTGAATGGAATGTACTACTTTCTCCTAAGTCAATAAAAATATTTCACAGAAACTGGTCATTGTTTGTCTGAATTCCCGTCCTAGGTCCACCTTTGCTTTCTATAGCTAGCGTGACGTTCCTCTGGTAGTACAGGCCAGCTCCCAAAGGGCCATAAGGTTATTTTGGAAGTTAAAGGACAGCAGAGGGTGTGCTGGTCCACACTGCTCTGGGGCAGTTCCTGGCCCCTGGAAGAAGATGGACAGCACCCTTCTCTTATCTGGGACGCTCACTGGGCCCAGTGGCTTTCCTAGGGATTCGAAATTGGAAAGAGGGAGGGGTTTGTGTGTGTGTGTGTGTGTGTGTGTGTGTGTGTGTGTGTGTGTGTGTGTGTGTTGGGTTGGGGGAAGTATACTATTTCCCCTCATATTTGCCAAGTCTCTTTCTATCCAAGTCATACTTAAGAACTATTGTTTATTAACTTTCACACAGTTTCTGTTTGAGCAGGTGTGAAAATTTTGTTTTGACAGATTCAGACCGTAAGAGGGTTTTCATCTTCTAACAAATGGTAAAGTACCAGATAGGTTTGGCGGTAAAGGCATCATTTGGTAGCTTCGAGGTTAGGAGGAGTCAGCTTTCAGGTGGCTTATTTCATAAAACAGACGGTTGCCCTGCGGCACATCAGGTTCAATACTTGTGGGGCGGTCCCGGAGCGCTGCTTCCCGCCACTTAGAAGCAGGTGGTTTCTTCTAAGCACCTTCATCTATTCTCAGGCCCAGTTGCTGGTGCACCTGGATGCAGACCGTGCTTTTGGTTTTGTCCCAGGAAATTAATTGGCAAACACTTTCCAAATATACCCCTTATCCTTGGTTTCTCGATCATGTGGTCTAATTCTAACCACTGATCTGAGGCTAGACCCTTCTGCCATGAAGACTCAAGGAACGCAGACGTGGAGCTAAAAAGTCTTCATACATGCCCTGCACTCTGGTGTCTTGGAGGGAGTGGGGGGGGCGCATTGGCACCCTCTGTGGAGGTGGAAAATGGGACATTCTAACTGCAGTTGCTGTTTCAGTACCACCCTCCCCCCGCCACTTTATGACTTGTACACCTCACAGCAGCCCTCGAGAGGGAGGTGGGTAAGTAAGCATTCTGTGCCCAGCACTGTCCAGCCAGTGCCCGGCCTCCCACGGGGCCTCATCTCCATGCCACAACCAGTGTGGCCTCTGCCTCTGCACTTATCCAGATGCATGCCACTCTCCAGGTGTCATCACTCATGACATTGCAGCTACCCAAATGTGAGCCTGGAAAGCTAACCCCTGGGAAACCTGTCTTCTGCTGCCCCTCCCCCAGCAGTAGGGAACAATTGGAGGGGCTTGTGTGACCGTTTGGTCTCATTTTTCTTGTACTGTCATGCTGGACACCCTGTCTTATGGCAGTGTAGAGCATCATTAAATTTGGGACATGTTCCTTCACCTCAGTAAAGATAGCTTCTAAGGTCCAAGATAGGTAAATTACTTTTATTGTTTCTTCCATGAGGATAAGCTATTTCTAAGGTGCTAGTCACATTTCAAATATTCACGCAACCATAAAATATGTGAGTCAGATGATAAGATTTGACTATCCCAAGGTAGGGATATGAATTTTGAGACAGCCCAGTTTAAATGTAAAATCTTTGGGAAGATTGGTGGGGATGTTCAGCTTTGTTAGGTCATTACCAGTGCGTGTAGATAAGACAGTGGAAAGTTAAAAGCATCTAAAACTATTATCTGCTCATTAGATGCCATTCTCTAGAGAGCTGCTATCTTCAAGGCCAATGTAAATATTAAGCAGCCTTCCCTATGATGAATAGGACGGCAAAGGTCAAAGTCTAAAGAATCTTGCCAGGGCTGGGATGTACTAATTCTTTTCATCAATAAGCATATTGGGCCATTAAGAGATGGTCTGAATGAGGCACCTCACACAGCCCGGGGATTGTTTGTGTCTTCCTGGGTTCTTCCCAGTGGTCTGCCCAGCACTCGCAGTTGATTGACCTGAAACCTGATTTGCTCAAGAGCCCTGACGGTGGCCCTTTAGCAGTTGAGCTTTTCCTTGAGTGAGGTGGTCCCAGGTGACTTCCCCGCACCAAGACCCCCCAGTCCTTGCCATCTGGTGCCCCACCCCCACCCTGGCCTTCTGCTCCTGGTGTCAGGTTCTGTAGGGAGAGAGCTTGGCTTCCAAAGCTGCCCCTTAGAACATCAGCTGCTACTCAGTATGTTTGAATGTGCTCAGCACTTAAACCTGTTCTGCAAGCTCCGGGACCATTCGCAACAGACATACTTGGTCCACGAAGGCCATAACAGCCGATTTAACAGTTGACCATACCCCAAAACTATGGATTTGAATTAGCTGTGTTCAGTAAATAGCTATTATGGCGAAAGAAGTACTATTTGAAGTTAGGATGTCCTTAATTAGAAAATGAACTTGACAGGTTGCTCTTCACATTGGCCCAGCAGAAATTTTGGACGTGCTGTTCAGTGTGGTCTGTCCAACTCCAGATTCTGTCCCTTCCTTTGCCCAAATCTTTCTCTTAAACACTGCTATTATCAGAAGAGCAGGGAGGGGATGTTTTGAAAGCTGCCTCATGAGAGGATGGTGGCTCAGCACTAGATTATGCTGTAACTACAGCTCACCCACAGGTGCCTTCAACGCGGATCTCACACACCAGCCTGTGAAGCAGGAGACCCTTGGGACCCCATTAAGGAGGGAGGGTAGGAACGTGTTGTCAGTTGCAGAGGCTGGGTTGCCCTATCTCATCCTGTTCCCTCCTTGTAAGTGGCGGGGCAGGACATTTACCTACACTCGTGTGCTGAGCTGTTGATTACAAATTCCTTACTGGAGTTTAGGGAGACTACAGCAAACATATTTAGAACTACAAAACAACTATTTGAAGTGATTTGTGATATCTCTAAATCACAAGAAGGACAGGAAAATCTTAGTACTAGCTTAAATTGTAAGAAAAAAAGTGTGTGATTACCTCTCCTATACCATGTAATGTTTTCTGTAAATTGAATTTATACAGTTTGATTAATTGTATCTTTGTGCTATTGAAACGAATACTCTGTCCTTTGTGAGTCATTTTTCCGTAAGTTACTGTTTTGTGTCTTGGCTATTTAGTTCCTGTTTGGAATTCTTGATGCCGTGTGAGTGTGGGGGTGGGGAGATCACTATGGGAATAGTAGCATTCCTGATCTAGGTTGTCACAACCTAGAATATTTGGAGTAACCCTTTCTTAAGAAATAACTGTTTTGTAAACTAATGTGCCCTGAAGCTCCCAGTCCGTCTCCATGTGACCTGTCCTTCCCCAGCAGTTTGCTAAATGCCTCAGTGCTTTATTTAAACAAGACGCCCTGTGTTTACAAAGATTTGAGCATTAGGTAGTTTTTGATAAATTCATGCTCATTGAATTTTTCTAAGCCTAGAACATTTATTTTAACCATGTCAGTCAGTGTTATTGTTTTCATTCATTGTAATTCTGGTACCAGAAACTAGTGAGTTTACCCGATGGCTTGTGCTTGTTAATCATTATAATCCTGTTGGTCATTGTAAACTGAGTTGAGTTAGTCCCTAATCAAACATTTAATATTAGTATATTTAGCTTAATTTATGTGTTGCAACTCATAAGTCAAAGAAAAAAGGTTGTTACCTTCCTGATGTGTAGCAAGAGGCAAATAGAAGAGCATGTCCAAGATGCGTTTGTTTAAAAGACATGCCGGTCCACATGCGCTTTCGATCCCTGCAGGTTAACAACATTAGACATTCGTGTAGTGGCCTCCCCACCACAGCCATGCTATTGCTTTAACATTATATATAATTTTTTTTTCAGCATGTAACATAAATTCTGACCATTGGGATGAGTTTACTCGTGAATTGGGCCCTTGGTTTTATAGTTTGCTGCTAGGGTGCTAGTCCCTCCCTTTCAGTGGCTGCCATTAGGACTGGGCAGTCCTGGTGGTGCCCTCCTTGGACAGGAACTGTTTGGTCTTCACAATGGGCTTCTCAAACACTCGACTTTATTTTGCCATAGAATTTCCCTATGAAAGCCCTTAACAAAATTTACCTCTGAAAGATAAAAGCTGGAGTGAGATTCTAAAATTCATGCAAATATTTTGTTTTTCAGGTCTTGAGTCACCACGTCCAAATATAATCCTTGGGTTGGTAATCTGTCAGAAAATAAAACGTCCTTCCAGTGCTGGAGAGGTAGACAAGATAGATGAGAAGCGGACCCGACTTCAACCAGAAGAAATGGATGTCTCAGTCTACCCCAAAGTAACCCCAGCCCCGCAGTCTGAAAAGAAGCCCTCCAAGTACCAGCTCTACTCTGCAGACACAGCTGTCAGTAGCACACCACCTGGGTCACCTCCGCCTCCACCCCCTCTTCCAGAACCACCGGTGTTAAAAATTCTGTCGTCCCTCAAGCCAGGAGCCACCAACACTGTCACAGCATCAACAGCACCAGCAGCCATCACCACAGCAGCTCCCTCTGTCACGTCACCTGCTTCGAAAACAGCTTCGCCGCTGGAGCACATCCTGCAGACTCTCTTTGGAAAGAAGAAATCATTTGACACCCCTGCCAAAGAGTCTGTGGGAGCTATTCCCGCCTTCCACCGGGATTCCAAAACCACGGCAGACGACGGGGTGTCGGCAGCTCCTTTGCTGGATCCGATAGTTCAGCAGTTTGGTCAGTTCTCAAAAGATAAGGCTCTAGAGGAAGAGGAGGATGATCGACCCTATGACCCTGAAGAGGAATATGACCCGGAGAGAGCCTTTGGCGGGCAGCTCACTGAGCGTGGGAGGAGCCACGATGTGGAAGAGGCTCCTGAGTCAGCCGAGAGGGAGGAGGTGGCCTACGACCCTGAGGACGAGACGATCTTAGAAGAAGCGAAAGTGACCATTGAGGACCTGCCCAACAGGATGTGTGCAGATGTGAGAAGCAGTTCCGTGGAGAGGCCTGCTGACCAGGCTGCCGACGTCCCCGCTCCATCTCTGGTGGAGCAGCAGAAAATGTTAGAAGAACTGAACAAGCAGATTGAGGAGCAGAAGAGGCAGCTGGAGGAGCAGGAGGAGGCTCTGAGGCTGCAGAGGGCAGCTGTCGGGGCCTCCATGGCCCACTTCTCAGTGTCTGATGCATTGATGTCACCTCCGCCCAAGGCGTCACTGACCAAGGCTGAACTGTTTCATCAAGAGCAGCAGACCCTGGAATCGTCAGCAGGTCAGGTGACCCAGGTGACAAACCAGAGCTCAGACTCAAGACAAAGCAGAGACCCACGGCAGGCGCGGCGGCTGGCCACCGAGAGCAGCGAGAGCGAGCCTCTCTCAAAGCCCCCAGCGAATAGCATGCAGGGCGCCCCACCAGCAAGAGAAGCTTCTGGAGGGGTCGCTGTGGGTCAGGTGCCTGTGCTGGCCCTGGAAGAAAAGCAGACGGCGTCTCCTCTCTGGGTTGCAGGTGAAAAGGTGCCCCTGGTGTCTGACCAGGATGGCCAGAAGTGTGAACACCCAGGGAGTCCCACCCCGCAGCCCATGGAGAGCACCCACCCTACTGCAGCTGCAGATGGCCCGGCCAGACCAACCCGGAGAGTGCTGTTGCCCACGCCCCCCAGTACCTCCTTCCAGCCCAGCTGCCCTCTGCAGAATGATGGGCCGAGTTTTAATTCTCCTGCAGGAAGGGACCCTTTCTCTAGTCCGGTGTTTACATCTCAGGAAAAATCTCTTGGTTCGTCCCAGTATGAGGACCCAAGAAATCCTCAGTCTGCTGCAAAGAGTGACCACCCAGCAGCTGATACTGAGGGGGACAGAGAGCTACAGTCCAGACCTGGCGAGGGGACCACCCCGTTCTCCCTACCCGGACAAAAAGGAGGGGCCCCTCAGCCCCAGTTTCAGGGCCAGCGTGAACCCACACCTCGCACTTTCGGGATGTCAGGACTTTATGGCCCCAATTTCCCAGGACCAAGGGGGCCAGTCCCTCCATTTTCAGAAGAGAATATTGTTTCTAATAATGATGGGCCAAGAGGGCCCCCACCAGCCAGATTCGGGGCCCAGAAGGGGCCCATCCCTTCCTTATTCTCAGGGCAGCATGGGCCACCTCCTTATGGGGACAGCAGGGGCCCATCACCCTCTTACCTTGGCGGGCCTAGAGGAGTGGCACCACCCCAATTCGAAGAACGCAAGGATCCCCATGGGGAGAAAAGGGAATTTCAGGACACCCTGTATCATGAGGCGACTGGCCCCTCTGCCCAGTTTGAAGGACCAGAACAAGCCCAGTTTATGAGTAACAGAGGTGCAGCACCTTTCCAGTTTGGAGGCCAAAGAAGACCTCTGCTGTCTCAGCTCAAAGGGCCCCGAGGAGGTCCCCCTCCTCAGTTTGGAGGCCAGAGAGGGCCACCCCCTGGCCATTTTGTGGGCCCAAGAGGGCCTCATCCCAATCAGTTTGAAAATGCCCGGGGCCCTCATCCCAATCAGTTTGAAAATGCCCGGGGCCCTCATCCCAATCAATTTGAAAATGGCCGGGGCCCTCATCCCAATCAGTTTGAAGGATCCAGAGGCCAAGCACCAAATTTCATGCCAGGTCCCAGGGGGATGCAGCCTCAGCAGTTTGAAGAGCAAAGGGTAAATTCACCACCAAGATTTGTGAATCAAAGAGCACCTGCACCTCTGCAGTTTAGTGGACCAAGGGGGTCTGCACCGTTTCCTGAAAAAAATGAACAAACACCTCGATTTCACTTTCAAGGCCAGACCCCACAAGTGATGAAGCCTGCACCCAGGCCCCTGCTTGATCTCCCCAGCCATCCCCTGCAGCACAGGAAGGACAGGTGGGACGAGGCAGGCCCATCCTCTGCCCTGACCTCTAGCGCACCTGGACAGGGCCCCGAGGCCGACGGGCAGTGGGCATCGTCCGAGTGCCGAGAGGGCAAAGGCCATGAATACAGAAACCAGACTTTTGAAGGGAGGCCAAGGGAGCGGTTTGAAGCTGGACCCAAAGAAAAACCGCTGGAAGAGCCTGATGCCCAGGAAAGTCGGCAGGGGCGGGCCTTTGAGGACAGGAGGCGAGAACGGGATCGCAGCAGGAACTGGAGCAGAGAGAGGGACTGGGAGAGGGGCCGGGAGTGGGAGAGGCACCGAGAGAAGGACTCCAGCCGAGAGTGGGACAGAAGCAGGGAGAGGAACATGAACAGGGACAGAGAGCGGGAGGCAGACCGGGCCAAGGAGTGGGACCGCAGCCGGGAGAGGAGCAGAAACAGGGACCGCGACCGGGACAGGAGACGGGACCGAGACAGGTCTAGAAGCAGAGACCGGGACCGCGAGAAGGCCAGAGACAAGGACCGAGAGCCGCGGGAGCGAGTCCGGGACCGCAAGGAGCGGAGCAGGAGCAAGGAGAGGGCCCGGGACAAGCCTGAAGCCATGCGGGCCTCTGATTCAGGCACTGCCGCCACCCAGAACTAGGCTCCTGCCAGCCGTGCCTGGCAGCCAGTGATGACAGTACATTCGTATGTGTGGTCTCCACCTGACAAAAGCTCACAAAACATGTTGGACAAATAGTTTTTGAAATAGCTATGAACTTAGATACAGGATAGAACATTCTGGACTTCAGAAATTGCTGTAATTTTGTGTATAATGGTTTCTTACAAAATTTCACATCTTTACAATTCTGATTTTTAAAAATATATATATAAGAATTCAGTATTTCCATTTAAAATTACAGAAATGGGAAGTGTCTACAGAAGCATATTGCTTTTTCAGACTATAAAGTTATCTTTTCCAATAACTTGACTGTTGTAAATTTTAAGGGAATTTCATTGGACCTTAGAGCCGTCTCTTCACTGACATCTCATCTGTATTTCTATGTCTCCAGAAGCTGAGAAGCTGTTTTTACAGGTCTTTAGCAGCTCTCCCAGAGGGGTGGCGAGGTGCCGCTGGGGCTGGGGTTATAGTGGGTGAGCCAAACGCATCTGTGCCCTGCTCGGCTGTGGGAGAACAGTGTTAGCAGCTCATATCTGGAGTGCTGAGAAACACAAAACTTACCAATGCATCTTTCTTTTGTCATAAGGAAATTTGAATTACAAATTTCAACCAGGAAAAAAACCCACATTTTTTAGTTTTGCTCAGTTTTTATGTATCACCTTATAAATTTTCTTCAAAAACATTAAAAGCTACATCTGTCCTAATAGAAACTATTGCATTTTAATAACAACTTATTGAAAAATGTTTAGATATTACCAGCTTAAAGAAAGTGAGAAAATAAACCAATTAAGTGTACTTTAAAAGGGGGATGTCTTAGATTTGAATCATCAGAAGCATTTTGTTTTGTCAATTTTACCCCCTGAGCAGCTCTTCCTATATCCCAGGACAAGGGCACTCAGCTCCAAACTGTTGTATTTGTCAAGCGATAAATTTAAAAGTTTGTAATTGAAAATGGAACAATATCTGTATAAAGTCTGAAATGGAAAGTAGTGACTATTAGTTCAAGACCTGCAAGCTAAATAGAAAGCTTCCTGCTGTGAGGTATGGTGTGCTGCCGCGCGTCCTGTGCTTTTCAGTACTCCTGAAGTATGGAATAGAGAAACCCGGCTAATTTATTTGTACAAATACACATTGATAATTTTTTATATTTTCATAAACTTTTGCAGATGTAAAATTAGACAATTTCATTTGTTCTTTTGGAGTCTACTGTTCCATTATACATCACTACAGATTTTTCACTTTATAGCACAAATTTTTAAGTTAAGGAAACATGGAGAACTTACTGATTTGGGACTTTTGGTGTCATAAGCCAAGGGTTAGTAGGTTACATTACATTAGAGTAGGTGTCAAGTTCCAACATCTAATATGATCTGAAGGTTTTCTTTTTACATATAAAGCAAATTTTTCTAATTTAAGTACGTAGATGTAAAAACCAAGTGTGTTTCTTTAGGTTTACTTGATAGAAATTTCTGTAAATTGTATTTTATATTGCAGAGTATCACATCACTGTGCATTAAAACATGGGACTTCACAGGTTCTGTTACTTGAAGTAGAATAAACATCTACAGAGCTTTTGTCTCATAGGTCTTCACTCACCTTTCCTTAACACTGGGAAGTTTGAGGTTGGACATGGCTGCCTGGTCCCCCAGCTTGTTTACCCTTGGTCTCCCCTGAACTCGGGGCGTGAGCCCAGCTCAGGACTGGCCACCCAGATCCCCACATCCTTCCCATCACTTGGCAGGTGTCTTGGGCATCTGCTGGGGGCCACCAAGTAGCTCCCTTCCTGGGGAACTGCCACATGCGGCGAAGGGGATGTGTGGTCTGAATGTAAGGGTGACAAGGTGCGGGAGGGGCCGAGCAGGTGGTGGGGTTCACACAGAGGCTTTCAAAGGAGCTTTGGCTGCCATTAGGGCTGGCCAGACCCAGTACTTACAGGTGGAGGGCAGGCAGCTGTGAAGGGCCACCGCTGGGAGGAGCACGCGGATGTGGGCCTGGCCGCTACCTGCACGACAGGTTGATCTGGTCACCCTCTGGCTGGAACTTAGCTTCTCAATAAGCGTTTGTGCTCACAACCTAGCCATGAGCAGAGACACCAGGGGCAGGGGTGTTCCTGAAGGAAAATCCACGCAGCACTGCACTGCCATCATGGCCGTCAACACTACCTCCACAATGGCCCCACCACCACAAGGGCCACATTGAGGCAAACGGCACAGCTGCAGGGCTCCCTCATGGAAGACTACCCTGTAGCGAGCTCCAGGTGGCTGATTCTTTGCCAAAGAGTGGATGTTCGAATCTGCTGCACAGACACTATGGGGTGCATGGCGCAGTGCCTGGCTCCATGTCGCGTGAGCCGCTTGTGGCCTGCCGATCGTTGTCAGGGTGGTCTCCCATCCCACATGTCTAGGAAAATATGCCTTCACTTGGAAGCCCTCGGGCCTTGCATAGCTTGGATGTTTGTCTGTTCTCATTCTTGTTCACCCCAAAGCCCCGTCGAAACCCTCCCGCCCCATCAGGCAGCTCTTTCATCCTCCCACTGCTGTTCAAGCACCCGTCCACCCAGCTGGCCCCCAGGACCAGTTCTAATGGCTCCAGCCCATGGCCCCATTCAGCCCACATCACCCACAACACCAATGTGCATCATGCTGTGCATGGCTTTCTAGAAACCTGACAGGTGAGGAATCCAGCCCCAGCCTGCTCCTGGACATGGGCACAGCCATACCCATCTCATGGGGCAGAGAAATGCCCAGGCCTGACAGCCCCAGCTGCCAGCAGGCAGGGGCCGCTCGGGGGTAGCTCCTAGTTCTGGTACATCTGCAGAGACAGCTATCAGAAAATAGAAAGAGCCATCTCTAGAAAACTGGAAGGCGTTGAGGCCTTTAAATGGAAAGTAACCCCCAAAGGGGGTGGACAGCCCTGCCCCTCCACCCACACCAGGCCTGTGGCCACACTGACACCCCACAGCATCAGCAGCAGCAGCTGTGCCCAGGGCTGGGGGCAGCAGAAGGCCCGTAGCTGTGGCTGTGTTCTGGAAGGGGCCTGACCAGGAGGGGAAGAAGGGAAAGGCAGAAGCCACCCAGGTTCAAGCCCAGACAGTGACCTCAGGCCACTCAGTGGCAGGGCAGGACAGGGTCAGGGCACTTGGCTGGTAGCCGCTGGGTCCTGCACCTGCTTCCTGCTGGACACTCAGCAAAAGAGAGGGAGGAAACCCAAAGCTACCATAATTGTATGCCCAGCAGTAATTGCTGTTAATATTTCAGTGTATTTTCCTTAATCTTTTTTCCCTCTCTGCATTTAAATTTTTCTTTTACAGAATTGGGATGTATACGTCCTTGTGGTTTTTTCACTTGTCATATCCTGGGTGATTTACACAGACATCAATTGTTCAGCAAAAGCATCATTTACATTTTTTGCTTTGTTCAAAAGGTTTATACCTTCTACCTTTAAAAGAATGTATGCTGCCCGTAGCTCTGTGAGGCCCCAAGTGTTCACTGTGAAGGAAATGAAACATGGAAGATGGGCACAGGGAAGATCAGGACCCCCAACGCCACCGTCTAGGTCCAGAGACAGCCGTTGCTGGTCGTATCCTCCAGCCTCTTTTCTATGTGCATGTTGCTAAAGGTTGGGGCAGGTCACTGAGGAAATGCACCCTCTTTTTTTCTTTTTTTGGTGGCTGGCTATACAGGGATGGAACCCTGGACCTTGGTGTTATTAGCACCATACTGTAACCAACTGAGTTAAGCCACCAGCACCTCCTAGATAGACAGTTACCCTAGAGCCTGGGTCACCAGTGGGGACAAAGTCACCCCCAAGGGGGCAAAAATTGGTTCTTGGCAGTAGAGTCTTAGCTATTTGAGTGCTGGGCTCCACAAGAGCCAGCACTGAAATGCACACTGTTCTGAGAGGGTTCTAAGAGAAGCAAGATGTTTTTAGAAGGCCGAGAAGCACTGCCCCAAACAAATGAAGACATGTTCACACAAAAACCAGTAAGCAAATGTTTATAGTGATTCAGCCACTAAACTGGTCCTCCGCCACCTAGAATGCTGCTTAGCGACAGAAGGAGCCCCCACACCACACGCAGCGGCACCGAGGACTCTCAAACACCTCGTGTGGGGAGAGAAGCCGGACTCCACAGCCACATCCTGTGTGACGCTGTTATGTGGCCTGCGGGACAAGGCAGGACTCGGGGAAGAACGAAGATCAGTCAGGGCACCGGGAGCTCAGGTGAGGGGCAGGGGGCAGCATGGGGAATCACATGGGGGCTGGGGCTGTTCTGTATCTTGACTGCAGTGCTGGTTGCGTGACTTTTGCATTTGTTAAAACTCATGGACCTGTACCCCAAAAAGGTGACACTTACTGTATGTAAATTCTAGCTCCCTGAACCACCTGGAGGAGGAGACTGGATAGTGGGTTGGCAACTACCAGAGTTGAGCCCCACCCCTACACACACACACAGCATGCCCGCAGGCACACACATGAGCACACATCACACATACACCTCATGCACACACATGTGAGGAGGAAAAGAAAGCCGCTCAATGCTGGAAGGCAATTCAGTACCAGCCACATTTCATTTTCCTGGAATCCATATTCCAGGACGCTTTCATGCTGCGGCGACAGGCCCTCCTTCATTTTCAGAAAAGCCTCCCACATATCTGTAAGGATGTAAGTAACACATTAGCACATGCCTTTCATTTAAGGCAAGTGAAAGGGTGGGTGCGGGCTGCCACTCCTCTTTCCACAGACCCAGACTCCCTGTCCTCCTCTGGGGTGGCACTGCGATTGCCCCACCTTCCTCCTGAGCACGTCCTGAGCTCCCAACCCTGCCCTTGGTGCAGAGGGGACTTTCCCCACGTGCGCGCATGCTGTGCTGTGAATTTGCAAGTCCTGACTGTGGCTTCCCCATCTGGGGGCTGCCACTCCTCTTTCCACAAACCCAGACTCCCTGTCCTCCTCTGGGGTGGCACTGCGATTGCCCCACCTTCCTCCTGAGCACGTCCTGAGCTCCCCACCCTGCCCTTGGTGCAGAGGGGACTCTCCCCACGTGCGCGCATGCTGTGCTGTGAATTTGCAAGTCCTGACTGTGGCTTCCCCATCTGTCATGGGCTATTGGTCTCTGGCTCCTGAGAGCTCAGACTCACCTCGGTCTGCTTGGAAGTTCACAGCAACTGCCTGAAATGTGTCTGTGGCTTGTCCTCGTGTCTGTCTGTGTGGATTAATCTGCACTTCAATAGCTGAGGAACTTTTCGGCAAACAGAGGGAAATTCGTCCATATTTTGTTTAATATCCCATTTCCTAGTCTTATAAGTCTATTAAACAATGTTTCTTTAAATATTTAAACACTGCATATTAAATACTTAAACATTAAATATTTAACAAGTTAAATTTTCCAAATATTTAGATATCAATTACAAATGTATTTAATCAAATTCTCCTAAGCAGTTAATTAGATTCACATCCATAATAAAGGTTTATCAGATTCGCCTGGGTACACCTAACACCTTAAAGAGCAGACAAAGCACACACGTCACACTGGTAGCAAGACACACGTCCCATGGTGTCCACACTGTTGGTGCTGCAGAAGCCACCTGGTCCTTCCTCTTCCTCCTTCCTCCTGTAACAGTCAGGCTGCAGCCAAGGAGGAGGACGTGACAGGACCAGAAAGATGACAGCCAGTGGGGTGACAGCAGAGACAGACAGAGACACGGAGCCACAGAGCCATGGAGACAGAGAGAAAAAGAAAGAAAATGGGGAGAAAGATGGAGATGGACTCAGAAAGAGAGGTTGGGAGAGATGAGGGAGGAAAGGGAAGGGGTGGGGACAGGAGAGATGTGCAGGAGCTCATGGCAGGGACTGTCTCGCGTGGTTGTGGCAGCGGGTTACATGGTTGCTGCTGGAAGGGGTTGTCTTTGCATCTGAGGCCACCGTGTGGGCAGGGGAGGGATGGAAGGTGGGGAGCAAGGATAAGCCAGAGACCACAAGGATGGACGATGGGTGACTCTGGGCTGCAGTTCTTTCTCCCGCCAGCCTTGGCAGTGGGGGCCTGCCGGGGAGCTAGCACTCTTGGCTGTGGAGGTGAGCACATGGTGGCCTGTGAGCCTGAGCGGCTGCAGGAGGCCCAAGGAAGTAGAATGTGAGGTCCTGGTGAGTGGAGGTCTGTGACGCCGAGCCCAGGAGCGACCTCCGCCCTGCTGCCAGGGGCACCTTGTTGGGTAAGAGGCCAACTGAGGGCCACAGAACAGGCGAGCCTGTGTGCCTGATACTGCCAGACCAGCTTCTCACTGTGATGCCAGCAACGGAAACTCAACTGGAGCGGCTGCCATGATGGAGTAATGACTCGATCAGATGTATGACCATCCACGGTTCTTCTCCAAGGCCCCTCTGCTTTCCACACAGGCCAAATAAGCCCGTGAGACAGGGGTCTGCTCAGAATCGGCACTGTGTGCTCCACACCCTGGTCAGTGGCACTGATCTGGGTGTCCCTCCAGGAACGCGCAGTGGCCCCTGGCTTGCTGGCTCCTCAGGCTGTTCTGCTGCTTCCTGTTAACCATTCTTTCTACAACAGCCCTCACTGCATGCATCAG